CATGGAGGAAGCTAAAGAGAGAAATATTGCAGAATGAGTAATTATTTCAAATAGAGAGTTTTAGGAAGGTCTAGAGACTTAAGAACTTAAGAGAGGTCTGGGACCAGCCCATCCCCTCCTTGATCTAACAAGCTGAATATCTGCCAAACTGAAAAAATCCCAAATAAAATAAAGCTGTGCTCACCATTTTGTGTGAATATTTAAAGTAGCCCAGAGTACAAACAACATCACATTTCATTGTTAGGACTCCAGAGGTGAATAGCAAAATGTCAACAGCAGAAGCAATGAGCTTGGCAGTTTGAATTTGATGGATATAATGGCATGTAGCACTCTGAACCTGAAGAAATACAGATATTTTATGGGTATACAGATAGATTCTGGGTTAAATTACCTATTCAAGTAAGAATCCAGGAAAACATAACAGATTTCTGCCCATAGGTTATTTAAGATTATTTAAGTTTTGTTGGTTTTTTTTAAATTGTTTTCTTTTGTTTTCATGAATGCTACTCCAGATTATGCTTTTCTATAAGTAAATCAATCTGGTTTCACTGTGTGACTGATTTTTGAGTGCCACACCTGCCTCATCAGTCTCTTTTTTTTTTTTTGTAGAAAGAACAATACAGTTATTCACTGTAGAAGAGACAAAACAATGATTTCTGGCTGCCAAACTGAAGAAGTGCATTGAAACCAGTGAGAGCTTACCATACTGGTGTTAATTTGCAATAGCAGTAAAAGACAAGGGAAGATGAAAAACTGAAGGGAGTGTCTGGTAGGAAGGATGTTAAGGAAGGTTAGACTCCCCTGCACAACAGTGACAGCAGTGATTGAGTTCAGCAGCTGTGGTGCACCTCCACAGAGAGAAGTTGGGCTCCTGTATCTGTACCTCCTTTGTCTTCTATAAATATGGCAGAGCAAAAAAAAAAAAAAAACCAACAAAAACCCACAACGAAAAAAAACAAAAACACCCCCCAGATGTTTGCCAAGGTAACCAGCTTCATTTTAGTAATGAAAGCAATGTGTATGTAGAATCATAGTATTATAGAATGGTTTAGGTTGGAAGGGATCTTAAAGGTCATCTAGTTCCAAAATCCCTACCATGGGCAGGAATGTCATTCACTAGATCAGGCCCCCTCCCAGCCTGACCTGGAACACTTCCAGGGGCACCCACCCACAGATGCAGAACAAAGAAAAATCTGAACACACTTTAGTGAGCTTGCAATCTGGTTTTGTTTTCTCTTTTGCATATTGCATTCCTCTGTTTGCTGTATCAATTCCTCTGCCCTATCCTTCAAACGTTGTCTCACTTAATTTGTGAGCACACAGCTACCACAAACCCATCATTCTGAAAGCCACAAATGCAAGGTTGAAGCATTGGCACCCATGAATAAATCATAGCATAGCCACAAGAGGCATAAAACAGAAGTAGCCAGTGGGGTTGTCTGCTCACTGGCTTCTGAGTCAGTCACTGGTTTCTAATTCAGTTAAAGCACCAAAGATTCTGATTTATGTGAACTGTGACGTCAGCAGTGGCATCAGCAGCACCAAACAATGAATGAAAGTGCTGCAAACATAATGAAGGATGGTCTCAAAATCACGGTAAGGTATCACATTGTGATGTGCAGGAACAGATCGACACCCTCAGCTTTCGCCAGGAACCAGCCTGTGATCATACAAACATCTAATTAACAGCTTGACATTATGCTTAAAAAAAGTTTTTCTGGCATTACTCCACAGCAGAGGCACTTTTGATGACCGTCTGCAAATGATTCTCAATGGATTTAAACAAAGGCCAATTTTCATTGCTCCAGATTCACAGTGCCACCCTCTAGCTATGGCTTTGCTTTCCATCTCCGTCCTCCGTCCTCCTCCCCCCCCCCGCCCCAGGAATCCAGGGAAGATTCAGACCTTTGATAACAGAGAAGGTTACCAAGAAAAGGCACCAAGAAAAGGTCTTTGCCTAGTAAATCCTGCTGTCCCATGGCTGGTGACTGACAGCACAGTGGTGGTTTGCTATGTGGGCATGAAAACTTACTCATAAGAATGATTAACAATTGGCTGGTGTGTGAATGTCATTTTTGTGAGGGGCACCTGAAGAGGCTGGAAACAGGCATTAGAAATAGGCCTAGAAACAGGCACTTAAGGCAAAACAATGACATTAATTAGGTAACACCAAACTTTTCTACCTGATTTGATTAGGTACTTAAAGTAAAATGGAGAGAGATGCACCTATGGACTGACGAGCATGAGAAGTAAGATATAACTAGCAAATAGACAGGGGATCAAGTATCAATTATAGAAAAGTTATGTTACCAATAGATGCTTCTGCCTTAGTTTGTTAAAATGTATAAATAGTGCAATCATATTGTTAAAATGTATACATTATGTGAAGTATTGATGACGAGTGAGCGGACCAAGCTGGCTACTTTGTGCAAACTAGAATGAAGGATGGTAATACCTGTCTCAGTGAGTGAACCCTAACCCTAACCCTAACCCTAACCCTAACCCGTTAGCAAGCTTGCCTTCAGGACAAAGGAATGCATCCAGTGCAGTGCTGGGCTGGCTGCTGCACCTGGTGCTGGGGATTGGGCCCTGTAGCAGAACACCACCATCACTCTGCACACGTGTGCATCCTCAGCACAGCTGCCAAGGAATCCAGATGCCTTCTTTTGACATCTGGATTGGGCTTCCAGAGCAAGGTTGGCTTCTGAGAGGAGAAGCCAGGACCAACCGTCATGTTTGGCAGAGTCAGCCAGCTCCAGGACAGACCTGCTGCTGGCCAAGGCTCGACTCATGACGACAGTGGTGGCACCTCCGTAATAAGGTATTTAGGAAAGAATTTACTGCACAACAGCATTAGCAGCTGGAGAGAGGAAGGAGAACCCTTTGGGAGGAACAGCCCTGCAGACAGCAAGGTCAGTGAAGAAGGAGGACAGGAGGTGCTCCAGGTGCAGGAGCGGAGGCTGCAGCCCCCTGTCCAGCCCACGGAGCAGAGATCCTCCTGCTGCCCAAGGAGGACCCCACACTGCAGTGGGTGAATGTGTCCCGGGGGAAGCTGAAGCTGCAGAGAGGAGCCCACCCCGGAGCAAGCGTTCTGGCAGGACTTGTGACCATGCAGAAGATCCATGCTGGAGCAGCCTGTTCCCGAAGGACTGCACCCCATGGAAGGACCCACGCTGTTGAGTAGGACTGCCTCCTGTGGGAGGGGCCCTGTGAAAAACACCAATCACTTGTTTTCAAAATTTTAAAAGTTTAATGATAATAAAATGGTTATAAAAAAACAATATAATTAGAGTAATAATAATTTGGACAATTTGGATTAGGACAATATGAGACAATAAAAATAAAGAGTTATGGATGTCCAGGAACCTTTTTCTGGGCAAAACAAGCCTGAAAAAGGACCCATGTTAACAGAGGATTAACCCTTAAAAATAATAGGTGGTTGCATATTCATACATCTCATACATGATGCATAAATTCCATTCAAATACAGGATTCTCTCTGGTCAGTGTCAATTTCCTCTTAATCCTAACAGCATCTTCATGGCTGAGCAAGACGGGAAGAAATTTGTTTCTTCTGATAAGAGAGCAACAAATTCTCTTTCTCTGAAAGATTTAGGTGTCCTGTGGCTGCTATCTTGCTGTGAGTCCTTTCTTTAAAAAGTATCTTACATAGCATAACTTTCTATTTTAATATTATATTGTAACCTAAAACTATATTTAACACACTACTAAAAAAATTAATATAGCATAACTTTCTAAAATAACACATATATTATTCATTTTAATATTTGCAAAAAGCCAATAATAAAATACGCATTTTTCACAGACTCCACGCCAGGGCATGGCAGGAGTGCGAGGAGGGAGCAGCAGCGCAGGAGAGGCGCCATGGACCGACCACAACCTGCACTTCCCACCCCCCGGCAGTGCGGGGTGATGCCGAGCCTGGGAAGAGAAGGGGAGGTGGGTGAAATACAAAGCTGTGTTTTGTGTCGGGTACATACAGGCAACGTGTGTATTTGTGATTGTGGTATGTGTGGAAACCGACCATGGGACAGTCATAAAGATGAATTCTAATAATAACTGAGGAAAGTAAAGCATGGAAGAAGGCCTTTGAACCTATCTTTTGTTCACAATTAACATTTATAAGTCTTAAGTTGATTTAGGAGCATTTGAATTAAAGTGTTAAGGATGTTGCTGTTTGACAGGAACTTTCTATTTGTAGTTAAGTCTTGAAAAGTTTTGCAATAATAACCTTTTGAAGTATAATTTTAGAATATTGCTTGTATTCTTGAAACTACAGCTTTAAAAAATATAAAAAGGAAACATGCTTATCTCACGCCTTAACAAAACAGTGAAAAGCAGCTTGAGAAAGGGAGATGAACATCAACTCAAGGATTAATAGTTTCGACCAAGGGAAGCTGGACATCACTGTTATGAGATTTATAGTCCTTGCAATTAAAAGGTGGACCCACATCCGGAGAGCTGGACTTCACCAGCGGGGATGCTTCTTCCTTCTTTCAGAAGCCGGACGACCTGTGGACCATCTGGGGATACTCCTTTCTGGGATACATCCTGAGAAAAACTAAATCACAACAGTGTATAGAATTGTGACGCAAAAATTTGGAATAGAAACCGCTGGTGAGTAAAAATTGGGAATAGAAACTGCTGAGAAAGCTGATGAGTACCCCTATAAATACCTGTAAGCCTCAACCATCGGCGTGCAGTTGGAGGGAAAACTTCCACCACTGTACCCAGCGCTGTATTGCTCATACTTTACCATATTAATTAATAAAATGATTAATTGCTGCTTGAATATTGGCCTTGTCAAGCTCTCGTTTATAACAGGTGGGTGTTTCCTGCTTCACTTCTAACTTGGAAAAGTTGGAAAACTGCGTTACTGGTGGGCAGTCAATCAAGCAAATCCTCCCGGCCCCGAGGCGCCGTCATGGGCCGCGGGCGGTGGGCGGGGCCTCCGTGAGGCGGCCCCGGCGCGGGGCGGGGAGGGGCCGGCGGGCGGCGTGAGGGCGGCCCAAGGTCGGCGCTGCGCTGCGCTGCCGTGCGCTGTCTTCGCGGCTGCCCGCAGATGGAGTACGACTGGCTGGGCTTTGGCTACGCGGCGCTGGTGGCGGCGGGCGGTGTCGTGGGCTACGCCAAGGCAGGTGGGTGCTGGTGGCCGTGGCTGTCCCTGTCCCGGCCGTGGCCGCAGGCAGCCCCCGCTCCGCTCCCTTCCTCTCCGCCCCGCCCCGCTGCGGGGCCGCTGCCGGCGGTGACAGCGCAAGTGCCGCTCAGTCCTTGCTGCCGCCAAATAAGTGCAACGAAACGGTGCTCGCGGAGGTCTGCGAAGTGTGTTAAAAAACTCTCCAAACCCCTCAACCTGAGCCCTAATGCTGTAGTAGTTAGATTGGTTTTGTCGATTTACTAGAACGGCAAAGTCGCGAAGTGCTTTCGTTTGGCGTGCAGGCTCTGTGTGTCAGCCTCTCTGTTCTTCCGCTGACTGCTTTATTCTTTATTCAAGGCAGCGTCCCGTCTCTAGCTGCCGGTCTGCTGTTCGGCGGCTTAGCGGGGCTAGGGGCGTACCAGCAGTCCAAAGATCCAAAGAATGTGTGGCTTTCCCTCGGTAAGTTTGCTCGGCAGCCGAGTACTGAGTGTTACTGGTAGCGGTGAGAACAATAGCCTTTTTTCTCTTAGCATGTTTCAGCTGCCCAGTGCCGTTATACCTATACAAACGTTGTAAGTGGTGGCGGGAACCCCTGCCCACAGCCAGGAGGTTTTTGTGTAAGAGCACAATTTTTGTTTGTCCTGTGTGAATCCAAAGTTGGTGAGAAACACCTGAGTCCTCTGCCAGATTAGATAAAGTGTTACACCAACACATTAGGTGCAGGAAACATTTTTGGTTGTGAAGCAGCGTTTTTAGCTTGTGGTGGTGGAATAAGCACTATTTTTGCAATAGTGACAGGAGTGTGACAGGTGGTATGTGGCCTTAGGGAACTCTGGTTTGCACAAGCATCTCAGAGGAGCAGTACATGTTCTAATGCATCACGCACTCTGAAAGAAAAAGTATGTTGAAGAAAAAGGGCAGTGATCTATTCTGCTTGCTTTCAGTAGAGTTTAATAGAAGTTGTGGGTGTTAAGCTTGCAGTTAAACCTTCTGCAGGGGAAGGAGAAGGATGAAATCACTGTGGAAAGTATTATGAAGCACTCAGGTGGACCTCAGGGAGTTCCTCTGCTGCAGGAGTGTAATATCTGGGGTTAAACCACTCTCAGGAACTGATTGTGCCTTTGGGCACTAGGGTATCCTAGATGAGTTCTTGAGGATCCTGCTAGTTCTGTAACTACTCCATAGTGTTTACTAGGGCTATGATACTTTAGCTTTACAGTGATTTAAGACTGTTTTAAACCAATAGGACTAATGGTGCTGAAAGGCCACTATAGAGGACCAACCTCATCAGTAAGGAATGAAATGTAAAATGCAGCTCAATGTAAAGCACAATTTCCATTTGTGAAATGTCCTTCCACTCTGGCGTGCTGTGGGAGTGGCTGTGCATCTCTGGCACGGATTTTTAGGCATGGAGGAGGGATAAGCAGCTTTTGTATATCCTGATGTAGTGCATGGAGCGTTTTCAAATGGACCTCTTGAAAGCAGTGCTGTGTCACAGTGTAGCACAGCTCTCCATGCCTGCATCCCTCCTTGCAATGTGCAGCTGTGGCTCCTGCAGAGCTATAAATTGGTCCCAGTACATCAGGGGTAGAAATGCAGAAATAGAACCTTGACAGAGTGTCTCTAGAATACCTTTTACCCTGTCTGATGCAAACAAACTTGAGGCTTTGGAAAAAGGTATACCACACTTTCACCTGCCTTTCTTCAAAAAAAAAAAAAAAAAACAATGGCCCTGTACATTTCTTGTAAATGTTGATGGGATTCCTTTTCTACATTTAGAGATAAAATAATTTGCAGTAATGTCTAAGATGTTAATTGCTCTTTCAGTTTGATCTTTTGGATTGCTTTCTGTTTTCTAATCATATTTTCAAGTGGCGTTGTTTTCTTTCCAGTTGTAGTATTTATTGACCCTTTCCAGAATGTCCCAGAGAAATGGGAAGTGTAAATAATATTTACCTCCCACTTAGTGAATACTGTCACCATCCCAGCTTTCTGGCAGTTTTGAGCCTGACTGTGTTTGAGGGAATAGTCATTCTTTTGCAAGTAAAGGCTGAGGGAGAGGCAGTGACCTGTTCAGAGGACTAGTTTATGGGGGATCAGACCGTGGTCTCAGCCCTGGTGAGATCTCCTTGCTTCTGCTGAGCAGTGGAGCGTGCTTACCAAAGCTGCTGAGAAGCTCCTAATGACAGCTTTGATGCTAAAGAGAATCAAATAGTTTACTCCCAGAGGGAGGCATTCCTGTCTGTATGTGTGGTATGCTCAGTGTCAGAGTGTGGCAATGCTGCACTGGCATTTCTGTGTCAAATGGTTCTGACTGGGCTTCTTTTCAACAGTGGCATCTGGCACCTTGTCTACTGTTATGGGAATGAGATTTTACAACTCCAAAAAGGCAATGCCCGGGATAATTGCCGGTGCCAGGTAACCACCTGTCCTTTGTTCTTGTCTGTGTTATTGAATAAACATTTTATTTAGCTTATTTGTGGATTATATTGTTTTAAAAATGTAACATGGTGAGTTGTGTGAAAAATGAAATCATATGGTGGTGTTTAGGTAAATGAAATTATGTCAATGTTTTCTTCCTTCTTGTTCTTTATGGGATTTTTGCCTCCACCACCTTTTTTTATAACTATTCTGTTCCACAGTTTACTGATGGTTGGACGGCTTGGATTGCAGATGATGGAAAAACCTCTTAAGCCATAAATATGCATCAAGTGACCTGAAGACACAAGACTGAGTAGCCCAAAATGCAACTGCCTAAATATGCTGCACATAAGTGAAAAAGGCACTGCTACCTGTGCATTGTATTTTTCATATCCTAATGCACGTGCGTTGTGTTTTTAAGGGACTGACACAGAGAGCCCTTGTCATGGTGTGGTGTTTGTCTCAACCTTTTCTGCACTGAAAGCAAGCAAGAAAATATGAGTGTAGCATTAGTTTAGCTTCTGGTCCTGCAGCTTAATGTCAGCAAAGACCTCCTGGCCCTTGCATGCAGACAGTTGCAGGATTGAGACTGAAATGCCCATATGACTTGTTCTTCTAAAATCATGTGTACCTCTAAAAGCAGGGGAGAGGAGTTTCTGATTTGTCACTAGTAATTAATAGAATAAATGTGCTTATGATGTTGCATCTCCCTTTCCATGCCAGTTTGGCCGTTCACAGTGTTTGTCTGTCAGGGAGTTTGTTCTTCCAGCACTGTGTGTTAGAACCTGGTCCCACAAAACACAATCACAGAACCAGCTGTGGTCAGGGCTCTGCTGTAATGCAATAAATGCATACCCATGCCTTGCAATCACTTGTAAGCTCAGCTCTATGTCATTCACTTTTACAGATTACTACTCATAAATCAAAAATATGCTTTATTAGGAAATGCTGAATTGTAGGCACAGCTTTATTAAAACATTATTTTAAATAAACTAAGAAATTATTATTGCAAACTTTCGTGTTCTACACAGCTTATTTTGTCTCTAATTGGTCATCTGGATTGATACAGTTTGGTGCCTTTCCTGCAGGGTGTCAGGATATATTTGCGAGCATGAATTGTGTAAATAATCTATTCTATCCCTGAATCTAGTAACTTGTAAATATAAAAATCTGAACTGGGAGGGAGGTGGAAAACCACACAAAACCATACAGACTACATATTCAGACAAGTATTATATTGATGTTTTTTAGTTTGAGTTTTGTTTTTTTGTTTGTTTGGTTTTTGTTTTTGTTATTTTTTTGTTGGGTTTTTTGTTTTGTTTTCTGAGGGGATAATCTATTTTAGATTTAGAAAATACTGTATGAAAGTTTATTTAAAGACTGAAGGGCTTATTTCATCAGTCTTTGTCCTCAGCTGATTCCCTTAATGCCTGAAATCATTCTAAATATAAACCTCCCATAGAGAAAAATCCTGGAAGATACACATGGTTGGTAATGTATCCCTTTTCTGGTCACATTTAACTTATGTCTCTTTTTGCACAGATCCTGAACCTAAATTTCTTCAGCCTTTTTTGTTTGGTGCCTGGTACTGAGAGAGATGGAAGCAGGAGGGCTGTTGCATTAGATTGGTGAGACTCTGGGGTTGCTCAGAGTTCTCTGAGTATCAGGGTAGTACCTTGGCTGGCAGGAGGGTCACATCCTGTGGTTTTCCTTCCCTCGTCCCTTGTCACAGCAGAACAGGCAGGGCAGTGACCCTGTGCTGCGTGAGCAGGAGCCGCAGGGCTGGGCCAGTGGCCACAGCCAGGCTCTGCCAGCAGGGAGGTGGCTTGCCAGGCAAGTCACAGGGATGAGGCAGGGCTGAGATCAAGCCAGGAGTCACGTCAGTCAGACTGGGTTCCAGATCTGCAGGGACGTGGCCAGGAAGGGGTGCAGCTCCAGCAAGTGTCTCGGCAGCCTGGTCCCAGGCCAGACAGCCTGGGTCAGAGCTGGCTTGAGCACAGACAGATCAGAGCATTTCCTCAGAGCCCTTATTCATCACCCTGCAGAGTTCAGCTTCAGGTGTTCACCTGCATTTACTTTCTTCTCCTACCTCCTTGCATGGAAATAAGGGGTGTGCAGGACAGCAGATGGTTTGTTACCATGTCACCCTTTTAAATGCCTAATTCCAGCCCAGGACCCAGCACTGGTAGGCAGGTGTCCCCACATCTTTGTTCTAATTTGCAAAAGTTAATAAGCCATACATTAGCATTTAAGACACTTCTTAAACTGCTTTATGTGGAGTTTTTTTTTGCCTCCTCATATTTCTATTGAAGCAGTTTTCTTCTGTAGGAGTAGGATGCAAACATAAATGCATCTCCTGCAATAAACGGAGAACAGCCATGACCCAGCAATTTTGTAATTGTATAATGCTGGTCTCAAGCCAGGTAACTTGTGAATTTGAATTGCAGTTGTCTTTACCAGAATAAAGACAATAAAAAGCAGAAAACTGGACAGGTATGTGTGTTGGTAAGCTTTTTTACTCTAGGTCAAAGTGTGAACCCTTGCTGCTGTTTCCTGAGCTTTGGAAGGCAATAGGTTGAATTGAGAACTGCTGGTAGAAGTCCTTTAGAACTTGTGGTAGAATGCTCATGCTCAGGATAAACAGCATTAATACAGGCAAAGGGACAAGAGAAAAAGTTTAGCCTTACATACTTTTTACCCCTTTGAAAATTTATTAGCATATAATAATTTTTTTTAAGCATTTATGCACTAACAGTCCAATGTGTATCAATGGATCAGAGTTAAATGACTGTACAAAGCCTGTTAGCCTTTTCTTGCTGCTTGCAACAAGAATTATTCAACACTTGGCATGCTTTGCTTGTGGACATGTAAAGACTGATCTGGTTATGTCAAAGCCCTTTCAAGGTTCATTACCATGTGACAAGGACAGCATGTTTCTTCTAACCACATTTAGTGCCATTTAGCTGTTTATTTTTGTGCTCTAAGGTGACTGACTCACAGACACGTGAGCTATTGGCACATTATTAGTTAATTCCTTGACCAGGCTGATTTCAACTGTCACTGGCATCTTGCATGAGAGTGATTAATTTTGTTTTTTAATTATAAAATCACAGCTCTTATGGCTGTTACCAATTGTCTGAGGATGTCCTTCATTGCCATAGCAAGTTATAGATATGTTCTACAGTTACATTAAGATGCATGTAAGTAGCATAGGGACATCCTTAGTGCTAAGGGAATGGCAAATACTTAGTCCTAGACCAGTGGCAATTGAATTAAACTCGCTAGTGCATTACTAACCAGACAGCCCTATCCTCACAGAGCTTTGACAGCATCAAAAAAAAAGGGGCATTTTCTCTGGGTGCAATTTTCCTAACAAAATATTTGACTTTTTGGTACAATTGTTTTAGATTAAATTGCTTTCCAGGAAGTTAATATAACCCATATATTATGACACACTGGGTCAACAAAAGGAGTTTAAATTTTAATATTCATTTATAAAAGCCATACAAATAAATTAATTTTTTTAAAAATGCTTGAAGTCATCATTAACAACTTTACACATCTTTAAAGAGCATACTCACTTTTTACTTTAAAAGGGCAAGTTTAATGTTACTATAAACTCTAAAGCATTTATTCTAAATGCAATTGTTAACAGAAGTAGCCCAGCTCAACATCCTAATAAAAAATTCACTGTACATTGCAAAGTCCTTTGGGCAATATTATTATAAAAGTTAGCATAAAAGCTGGGGAAAGTACTGAATGTGCATATAAACACTAACATACTGAATTATTAAAGTTTTGTGTGTGTTTTCAGGTACCTAAATTGGCCTTTAAGATCTAAAACAGAAACCAGTGTCCTTGAAGAACAGACCAATAGTCTTCCTCATGTAGCCTATTTAAACTCTGTAGTTTAGTCTGGTCACCCAATAAAGAATGTAGGAACATGAGTTTAGTGATAGTTTAGGCATTTTGGCTAATTCACCCTTAATATGACTGACTGCAGTAATTTAGGCTCTTGAAAGGTCACTGTGAAATGCCCTTGCCAGGACAGAGATAAATCTCTACAGAACTTTGACCAAAAATGCCAACAAGTTAATTAAAACAGTAGAATCTGATCGTTAGGCTTCACTTCACAGCTTGGTAAGTGGTTTTCAGTACTTGTTTAGCTATTTTCCAATATTGCTGTATCATTCAACAGCCCTCTATCAGCCAGATTTCTAGACCTTCCTTGTGTAATATCTATCAGTGGATTGCCTATGTCCTATTACAAGGGTTTCAGTTCTCATTGCTACATGAATATTTGTACCTTACAGACCCTGAGTAACTCTTAGTTACAAGTGAGTTCTGAAATCCTTGCAGGATGCTGATGCTCTTCACAAAGCCAGATTTGTGCTTTCACTCTTGTCTTCCTGCTAAGGACCCAGCCTAACACCTGGAAACCTGGTGCTGCTCTGTTTCAGCCCTTCTGCGTGCTTCAAGCACATCCCAGCAGCAGATGTTGCACTGGATGAACAACCCTAACCCAAGCTGTTGCAAAGAGTATGAGAACTGGAGATCTATCTATAGAAAACATTGGGTGAAATCTACATCTCAGTTTTGGCAATATGTGTTGTACAATACTCCACTGCATCCTACTTTACAGCCAGTATTTTACATGGTGTTATATGTGCTATACAAATAATAGAACACAAGGTCTTTTTTTCTTCTTTACTGTTGCATAGTCTTAGGAAAAACTGGAGCAAATAGGCTTTTCAGGTTCTCACAGAGCATGTAATATCCACACAGGATGGTATTTTCTATCTGTTTCCTCCATATTTGGCCACCCAGTCTGTTCTCCCGTGTACTCGCTGAATTGTTGGGGGGCGAGTGAACATACTCATGTTTTTTGCTGCTGCATTGAAAGCAGGACCTGGTAATGGAGGACGAGCAGCTTTGTTTTTCCAGGAATAATCTGAAAGGAATAAGAACTCAGAATTAATTATGACTAAAAAGGAATAAGAACTCAGAATTAATTACAACTATTTTACTCCTCTACAGAGAAAAGAATGAGTGCTTACAGAGGACTTATGGTCCTCAATGATGCTGATGTAACAGGATGCTTTGGTCTCCTATAGGTCATAAAACATCCTGAGTTGGAAGGGACCCACTAGGATTACAGAGTCCAGCTCCTGGCCCAACACAGGACAACCCCAAGAATCACACCACGTGCCTAAGACCATGCTGTCTGTGCTTGTTTTCAGAAAATATTATTTTTCCAATAGTTTGTATTATTCTCACCTACTGAATAGTGGTTTTGCAGTAATCCTCCGAGAAAGCACTGAGAACGAAATTCAGTGGAAAAACTGATGCAAATGCCTGCAACTCTGTATCTCCTATTACAAAACTGCTACAGTATGAAAGTGTTCTATCTCAAATATTTAAAAAAGCATGTCATTATAATATTGATAAGCTGAGTAAGATTGAAACAGCTTGGCCTGAAGAACACCTCTCAGAGACCCTCTTGTTCCTTTTGAGATTTTATGCCTTTTATTCCCCTCCTGCTTAGCTCAGAACTCCTGGTGTACTTGGGGGCAAGTCTTCTTTGCCCCATTTCTCTATTGGTTTAATAGAATTTATTCCAAGTTTGAAGGCCTTTTTTCTCTCTTAATAATTACACCCACCTGATCTCAGGCACTAGCAGTAGCACAGTGCTGTATTCCTGACCTTCCTATTCACATTTCCCCCTCTGACACTGCAGGTAGTGGCTACTTCCTTAAGTTTCATGTGATTAAAATAATTGCTCTGCTGCAGGGGCTGACATTTCTTTATGTTCATGACCAATTCAACCATTTTCCTAAGTCTTTAAAATCATCCAGCCAGGACACCTTTTATTCAGACTCCTGCTATGCCTTACCCTTGTTTCCTACGCATTCCTAAGGTAGTTTCTGCCTCTTCCATTCCTACTTTTGTACTTTAATCTTACTGTGTACTGATACTCTTTAAAATGAAATTTAACATTTAAATTGATAGGGGT